GGTCACCCCACCCGCCCCTCCTCTCACCTGTGCTGCTCATGGAGAGCTTCCACCTTTGTTAAAAAGTCATCGCTCTGATCTGGTAGAAACTGACTATCAGAAAGATAGCCCGGATGATGTATGGAAGAGTTATAGTCTCCAAAATGAGCTATCAAGACAGAATGAAGGGGAGATTGCCTTTTCAATATGGTCTGCATAACAAGCATCTACAGCATCACAAGAGAACAATAATTGGAGATACTCTTCCAAGAAGTATGGCCACCACCTGAGCTTCTTATTAATTCCAGATTCCACATTTATGATCTGAACCCAGGGCAAAGGACTTTCACATTCCCTCCTCCAGCATTCCCACTCTCCCCAAGGCCACCAAGGAGGAAAGGGAGGCTTTTCAAATCCTGTTTTAATCCTTCATCTGTTCTGTATTCTGTGGTTGGTACAGAGGTTTGCACTCATACCTCTGTTGAAAGAAAAAGGAGAACCCCCTCAAAATGCCACACTTTCTATGCCAGGCACTGTGCAGTTATTAAGCCACTGTTTATACTCCAAGTTATTGAATCACTGGATCAATCTGTTCTAAAAAATGAGTGTGGGCAGAGCAATGCCATGATGACATCACCACTATCTGCATCTTGACCCACTCCCTGAGATTTGGAGAAGTTTGGAAGAAAGGGGACAGGAAGTGCTCAGAGGCCAGAGAACCTGGTCAAGGACAGGCCACAGGCTGTTAAGGCCAGCCAGATGTGGCTAAAAAGGTGAGTTTGTTGCAAGGTGACATGCACAACAGGGCATTTGTAGAACAGAATTTATAATCTAAAACTCAATAAAGCTTTAGAATCAACTCATCTAAACTCAAGTTGAAAGAGATGAAACTGAGGCCCTATGACAGGACGAGACTGCACCCAGGGGATCGGTGCCCCAGCAGAGTTCCTACCGTCCCACTGGCCTGCCAGGCCTGCGGGTTGCTGCTGGCCACCTGCTGATGACAGTGGTCATGTCCCAGAGGACAACCTAATGCTTCAAATGACCTCCTGAGCCTTCAGGCGGAGTCCTATTAAATGTTACTCTGTGGATTTGGAGTTCATTAGCTCACAGAGATCCTCACGGATCTTGATTTGGTCATCCATTATATTACTAAGAGTGCCCAGTCCTGTGCCTTTGGGAAAACTCGAGCAGCAGGGCTATCAACAAGTCGCCAACAAGTGTTTCACCTTAACAGATGACGGATGAATTTCCCTTTGAAATTTTAGTTGCGTACTCAGCAAAGTCCTGGACTGACCACTAGAGGGAAACAAAGTCAAACAGTCACAGGCAACCATGTGCGAGGCACAGTGAGGTGCCATGTTGATGTCAAGGACATCATCCCACTGGATGCTTGTGAGAACCCGGGGCTAGGCATTGCTTTTATCCCACCAAACCAATGAAAGAATTGAAGCTCAAAGAAGGAAACTGTCCTTTTGCAGAAGGCATCTCAGAGCCTGGAGAGACTAGCTCATATTCTATCTACTTAGGCCCTAAATTCCAAGTGACACACTTTTCTGTTTGTGGGGAAGCAATGCTAATTATGGGGTGGGGAGGGCAACAGAAATAAGTGATTGTGTGGGAAACACCTTGTCTTTCTAAGTTTCATAAATTCTCCTGGCTAATATTTTATACTTTGCTGGAGCCTATATCCCTGTTAGTTAAATGTGTGGCATTTCAAGTTGTTCTATTGGGAAAACCCTTCACAAGCGGGTCTTCCAATTCCAGCTTGAGCTTCTCATCCCTAGGAAGCTCGCCTTTCTCCCCCCAAGCAGACAGAGGCATCCCTGGGCCACCCTCCCTGACCACATCAGCAGGTTCACCTCAGCCTCAGGCTTCCGCTGTTTGTGCACCAAGACTGGTATAGAACCTGGGGTGTGGCAGAGACGCAAAGAACACTATAAATACACTTCCAAAAGCTTCAGTCTCTGAACCTCAGAAATCCTGGCTGACCCCCAGTAGTCTTTGACCAATAAGTCTTTGGGGGGTATTTGCCCATTAATCATGTTACTTTTTAGCTAATAAGAAAATGCACTTTGGTTTATTGATCACTGATACTAGTGTAACAGTGTATTGTCATACTGAACAACCCTTTCAGGAGAACTTAGTAAACTGTATCATAAAATTTGAGGCACAACTCAGAAACCAGCAACTTTGAGCCAGCAACTTCATATCCAAGAAATGCACACAAGATTATAATATTTACTGAGGATGGGTGGAAGAATAAAGACCTAAGACTTAAAGCTGCTTATCTGAGATGGCTTTATTAGCATTTCACTGATACCAATATTTCCACTTAATTTACACTGTACATTTTAAGTGATAACTTTAAATTCCCCCGTGCTATTACTCCTTTGCAGAGGGAAACCTGATTAGTTTAGAACAGAATTTCAGTTGGTTCTTATATTTTACTCTAAATAAGAGTTTATTATTTACAAGCAGTTCTTAAGATAGCTTTCCTTTGGGTAGACATGAAAATCTGAGAACGGTTAATGCCTACCATGTGCCAGGCTCTATGCTGAGAGCTCTACAAAAATTAATTTAATCTTTATTATACCTATGAAGTCGATATTGTGACACCCTACTTGATGGATGAATGGCGTGGGGAGGTTCAAAGTCACACAGGGATAAGTGAAGAACCAAAACTCAGGTCAGATGGCTTCAGTCCATGCCCTCACTGACCCAGGTAATGGCAATGGTCCCATTATAGTTTCCAATTATATGTCACCTTCACACGTATTACTAGAACCAAGTAGCCATGCTGCAAGTTTTCAAAATCACCATTGTCACTTCACTTCAAAGGCAAGAAAACAGAAGTAAAAGCATACGGGTCTGACTAGAAGTAGGGCTGCAATTCCCCCCTCCGCTTCCTGCCATCACGCAGGTGGGCAGGTGAGCTGCAGGCCCAGTAACCAAGCTCATCACCTCTTTGATTTCTGCTCTTTGCTGCTGGGGAAGTAGGCGAAGTTAAGCCACCTTATCAGGTTTCTCTTTCCATTCTGCCTCTCCTGAGATCTGAGTAGGGTGAGGAATAGATCCAACACCTTCTCAGGCTTGTCCAACTCCCTACCATTCAGTCAGCCAAGAAGGTAACAGGCCATGATAGTTAGGGTTACATGAAGAAGAGGGTCTGCTAAAGTCTTGGCTGTAGGAGAGCTCTATGTAGTTATACCACACTGGCACCACAGTGCCAACAGCAAAATGATACCCTGCCTTCCAGTAGTTGTGGGTACCCAACAGAGCCTACATACTGTTCAATAAAATCTGCTGACTGGATTCATACTCCAGCTTATATGATAGAAAATGCCATCTGGATTTTCTATCCAACATGGCAGCCACTAACCAAATGTGGCTATTGAGCACCTGAAATGTAGCTAGTCCAAATTAAGATGCTGGAAATATAAAGTCTGGTTTTCAGGCCTCATTGGTAGCTTAGGAGCTGAGTCTCAGCGCTATCACTGTGACAACCTGAGTTCAATCCCTGGCCAGAGAGCTGACCCACATATGGCTCGGCAGACCTCTCTTGTCTTGCCTGCTGCTTCCCTCAGCAGTGTATTTCAGTGGGCCCACCTCAAAAACTCTAGCTCTATCTCTAGTGAGTCCTCTCACCCCTCCCCTTTCAGCATCTCTGGCCTACACCCCAGTTCTTCTACATCAATCAATCAATAAAGTTTTCAAAGAGCAAGAAAAAAAGAATAATCACATCTTGTTAATTTTTTACATTATTAAAAATAATCTTACCTTTACATTTTACTTTAATATGACTACTCATTACATATGGGGCTCACATTGTATTTCTCTTGGCTAGTGCTGCTCTAGGCCAGTATTTGGCTCTACTGAAACTGTAAATTCCCACAATCCCACAGGGCTTGGGAGTGATGCCAAATAAGTCACCAGGGTGACCTCCAGTAGATTCAAACCTAGCTGGGTCTCAGTTTCCAGTCTGTAAGAGGTGACTTAAATATCTGTCCCGCTGGGGTTTGGTGTGGAGATCAAAATCTGAAAGGTGAGGGAAGACTTTGGAAAGTATCATGTTCAATGCACGTCTTTTGTTTTATGGGCTCCTGTGGAAAACACCCACCACACATCATCCACTCATTCCCTTTTAACCACCTTCCTGAGTTCAAAAGCCCCAAGCTGCAGGAGAGTAAGTCAGGGTGAAAGTGAGCCTATCCAGACAACCAGAGGTCAGCTAGCCCAACAAGACTACTGGGAAGCGGGGAAGGCCCGTCAGACAGGAGAGGCTGCTGACTTTAACATCTGGGTCAGAACAGTCTGTCCACAATGAAACGCCCCCTTCACGACTTACATTGTACTGCATAGGATGCTAGAACCACTGCAGAGTTAAGAGGGCAGGTTAACCTGTCAGGAGAAACACATGTTAGAGAAGGCATGAGAACTAGAGCTTGAAACACACCTCTATCATGGCAATAACTTTTTTTCCCTAGAATTAACCATGAAAAAAAAAAAAAAAACGAAGAAGAAGAAGAATGAGGACAATTTTAGGATTCACTCAACCTCAAATAGTAAAGATAAATGTAACAAACATTTTTAAAAATGAAGTTTTTCATGTCTAAAATAACATTAATACAAATACTCTGAAATTAAAGTCTGATGTTGGCCAGGTGGCTGGGTAATAGAGGCCAGACTCTTATCACTAAGAGGAAAAGTGAGAAAACTGTACTCTTAGATCAGCGGGCAGTCTTCATATCTTTCTAGTAAAGACGTGAGATTCTTCACAGGACTCTCTAAATCCCTGACTTCTGATGACTGATTCCTGATGACCTACTTTCTAAAAGGGTAACATCCTAAGAAGGAAAAATGGTGAAGCATTTTGTATTTTAAAAATCCCATGGTTTTAAAATTAATTAATTACAATTACTCAAGATTCCTACATCTACTTAGCTTCTTGATGCTTTTCTGGCCCACAAGGGAAGGTCTATTGTTCTTTGACACCTGCTAGAAACCCACAGGCTTAAGGCTGGACTTATTCTCCTCTCCTCAGCTCACTGGTCTCCCCAACACCCCATCTGTGGCAAGGACTCCATCTCTGTTTTCGTGATATTTCAAATTCTCTGATTACTCCCTTTTCCTCCATCCAACCCTGGATTCCGTAGTCTGCCTAGGGGTATGGCTGGCTGAGCTGGGCAGGGCTTTAACCCACTGTGCCACCAGGGAGGGCCGCAGATACACATTGTAAAAGCATTCTTCTGGGCAACCCTGTGGGAAGTGGTGAAAACATGCCGTTTCCATGGCAGCCCATGAGATTCCCAAGATGTGAGTCACCCCCACCACTCTGACCAATCTGGCTGGCCAGCCGGGGGTGCCCCTGGCTATCCGCCACGCTGTGTACTGGCCCTGAAGCTGCCTGTGGAAGTCGCCTTTCCAATCCAAGCAACCCCATCTTTCAACTACAAGTTCCTGTTAGAATTTCAAAATGACCCCTCCAAGTCTGGAGAGACGTTCAGGAATATTCAACACCCATCTGGGACTGGAGACGCAGAGAGACCCTGGGGAGAGCAGACATCAGCTATGCTTTCTCCTACCAAGCAAGGCGTCAAGGAAACCTAAATCAGAGTCCTCACTGGATGAATAGAACTTGGGAAACTTAAGAGAGGCCAAGGGGGTTCAGTCAAGATGCCAGAGGCAACCTATTAAGTCAGAAAGAGAAGCATTTTCCAAGGATGGGTGGGAAAATACATACTGAACACTGACGGCCTACAGTCTGCTCTCACTCGCCCACTGTCAGGCTACACGCTCCCAGACAGACTCACCCTTCTCTCCTCTGCTGGAGATCACTAATCTCTGGAGGAAGGAGGGGTGTTGGGGCACTGTCTACCACCAACAACCCACTTCCAGGAGAAATGCCAGCTACAAACAGCCGAGGATAAAGAAGGCCCCCCGGGACCTTCTGGGAGCCAGATGTCACCCTGATACATGCCCAGGAAGGCTGTGGAAGTGGAAGGCCCTCTCCTCAGAGAGATGGTGGGGACCACCTGCAGACGTCCTGAGGAATGTCAGGAATCAAGAGTTGGGTATGGATCTCGACAGACTTCTTCTGAATGGCATAAAATGTACACAGGGTAATTTGTTTGGGAAACAAAACTTGAAGACAACCAACTTCTGATACTTGGGGAACTCGACTGAAGCCCTTGGAGGGTGGGGGCCTCACAGGATCTGACCAGCGGACGGTGCTGCTTCACAGCGGGGGTCTTGCAAGGTCATTTCTAACAAACTAGAGGTGCAGAAGAGAGTGAGAATGCCTGGGCCCCTGAAATGCCGAGGGGTGCCTGGACCCTTGAGATGCAGGAAGGCTGCCTCAAGAAAGAACACTCCCTCATTTTAGGGGAGCTCAAGCAGTGAAGCCCAAAAACCTGCCGGTTGTGCTAGAAGTGCTAGAAATGGGATTCGCTCCTCCCTTGAGTGGGAGGATGAGCTAAATTACAAAAACTCCCTAATTCTATGATCACTAAATAGTCAACAGTTTCTGGTGCTCATTTCTGCAACACGTCTCTCGTTTCTAACCGCCCCTCCTCTCACGCCCCCGGCTTCACTGACATGCCCCAGGCTTTGGCCTGGGCCACTGCAGGAACTTCCCCAAGGGCTGCATTCTCCCTTCCACAGTCCCTCAGCCTCCCAGAACCCCCGTCCTCCTGACACCACCTGCAGATGCTGCTCTGGTCACATGCCTTCGACTAAAACACCCTCAGCAGCCCTCCTCTCCCTGCTGGACCCACTGAATGTCCACCCTGGACACGGAGAGCCGCCCACCCCTCACCAATCTCCTGCATAAGCCCTCAGCTTGTGGTTTCCAGCTAGGATACTGGGGTGGGGGTGGCGCAGGATGTCTTTTCACTGCCCAGAGCAATCAGGTCCTCACTTCTCCACCAACCCCTAACCTGACACAGCACTGCGATCCCCCACGCAGTGGGGGACGGCTCTGGCACATCCTCCAGAAGCTGCTGCCTGCATGGTTGCCACTGCCCATACCCATCATAGTCGCTTCTTGAGTTCTCGCTTCATTTCCCCAGCCACCTAGACAAGGTGCTGCACTGCTCAGTAAGAGTAACGAGACTGGGGGAAAAGCCGGATGAGAAGCATGGGCCTTGGCTGGCCTATCCCACCAGTTTACCTGCTGCACTTTCTTCCATAAGTCAAGAAAAAAAAATACTGATTTGTCAGGGGTAGCTGTGACTCCACTGGTTTGAAATTTCCTCCCCAGTGTTCAGCTGTTCTCTTTGTAGCCATTGACGTGGTCCTGAAGTCCAAGAAGTGCTGAGTGATGGGCTCATTTCTTTGAGCAAAAAGCTTCCCAGAGAGAAAAATGAGTCACTTATAGCTACTAAGGGACTTGGAAGTGCACCTGAATTAGGCCTCATCTGCTTTCCTGAATGAAGTCTGTTTTACATTCTGGGGTATCTCCCTGCCTTTAAAGTCTCAGATTTTTACTAGAAAGATAACTGCCCCTTTCAAAATAAAATTAAAATAACATGAAATGAAGTTTACCAATCTTTAGCCTCTCTAAACCAAGAATGGGTTAAAAACAGATGTCCAAAGCATAATCGTACAGGATGCTGCTTTCAACGGCCATTCTTTGCTTATATTTAATATTGTTACGAGAAATGCATGCTCATTTGATGAAAGCAGGATTTTTGCTAGTCTGGCAATGGGCAGGAAAAGAAGAAAGCAAAATTCTTATTACCTTCCTTCACAAATATCCATCTTCAGTTGTAAGAAATACAGATGCCTATGGAATAATTGTTTTCGTTAATTCATAATATTCAAATTGAAATAAGCAAACAAATAAATACATTTGATGAATCAAGGCCAAGACCTGTGCATCTGAAAAGCAAAACACAAACATACTGTGGCCTAACACACCAGAACCGAGTTGGCACACTGCAAAGTTACCCCTCAGTAGCCACGCCTGGGGAGGTGGCCTTAGTCTCGGCTGTGGGGCATCCGCAGCCTGCCATACTGTTGCCAGCAAGTGACGCCACACTCAGCCTGAACTTCCAGATCAAGCTCAGAGAGTGTCTGAGAGCACCAGGACCCACAGGCATTCTGCACAGGCGCCCACACACACTGGCGGGCCGCTGTTCTGAACATGGCATTTGTACACCCACGTCCCCTCTGTATGGAGTTGCTGTGAGGAGGAGGGTCTGTGAAGATACCTCTTTGGCTGGGGTGCAAGCACCCAGCTGGGTTTTCCCTGTGTCCCAGAACTGTGGGTGCTCAAGCAAAAGCATAAACATCAGTCAACTATGAGTCGCCATAGCCTTAGGCGGGATTCTGGGAGCTTCCAGTGATGGGACTTCAGAACCCAGGGCTGACTGGCAGGCAGAGCCTGGCCAGTCATCACAGCCCTCATCCTGTGAAGCTGCCCCTCCATCCAGGGGGCGTCCAGGGGGCACAAGGCCTGGACACACCTTGTGCCCTGGAGACTGTTATATTTAGGGACGGACGCGGCCTACATGTGACACTTGGCTCTGAGCTCTCACTCTTTTTTAAAACATGGATTTCAGATGGGATAGACATTCCAGTGTCTGGCCAAGATGATAAAAGGGAAACTTCTTGAAATATAATCTAGACACAGGAGAAAGGTCCAGGGGCAGGAGAGACAGTTTTGGCAATTTGAACAAATCAGTCTCACTATTCCTTCAAATTTATACCATTAAAAGTCATCGTCTAAATGCTTCAAATGATATTAAAACCGCCTATCCACAGAGGTCTAGGTTGCGTGCACAGCATTTCACCGCTTACTGTCTCACTCCAGCCTGTGACAAGCCTGAGGTAGGCACTGCTAGCTCCTTTGTTGTTTTGATAGATGAGAAACTGGCTTTCGGATATGATAACGTGGAGTCAGTGATGGCTTCTCTATTTTAACCTGGGCACTGATTTATGAAAAAAGTCTGACTATGCTACAAATTTCTTATGCTCCTAATGACTGAAAGCTCTGTTATTATATAACTCAACCATAATTATCATCAACTACCCACAATGTGTTGAACACCAGCCTCGAGATGAGTTAACAATCATTTGCTGACTCGAGTCTATTCCACGTTGGAAGCTTGATGTTTTCCACCTAGGAGGACATAATCAGCCCTTTCTAGTTTGTTTCTATGTTTATTCAAGCTGACAATCAACCAGAATTAAGTGTTCTCTTCTATAATGCTACTGAGAGAAAGAAGAGAAGGGAGAGAATTGCAGCCAGTCCCATGGTAAATCTAGGCTTTCACCCATGAGCCCCGCTAATCAGTGTATCTTCCTAGGGATATAAATTAAGACATGAGCCTGGAGACCACCGCTACCTCGTCACCAGGTCAGCAAGGTTTCTGAGTCTCCCCACAACATCAGATCCAATTCCAGATCTGTATTGTGGAGTGAGCCCCACTCTGGGGGCCTTGAGAAGCCTAATTCTGAGGCTGCCAGGCAATGAAATTCTGTTTAGAATGATCTAAATTTATCAGGAACAGCAGTTGTGGAGGCTCATGACAAAGGAGACACTTACTTAACCACTAGACTAAAGGAAGACGGGTGTGCCTAACTTGAGAAACACCATCATGGGCATACCCCTTCATGACTTCAACTTCAGGAAAAAGCAAATGACTGTCCCTGCCTCGACTTTTAAACAGAGAACAGGAACTACTTGATACTACATACTCCTCTGACTCTTAAAGGTGGAATCTCTCTAAAAAAATGATCTTACTTTTGAATAGATTACAGAGCTGGGGCTTAATAAGCTATTATGTGCCAGAAAAACTGGTAGAAGTCTTCATTTAAGTAAACAGAACACAACAACAAAAGCCGTATGAATTCGCGGTGGAAGGCGTGCCCGGCATCAGTCAAAGATCTCGAGGTCCTGGCTCCTCAACAGCTTTCTAGGAGACGTGGGGGTGGCTACTGCCTCAGCTCCTGCTGCCCAACTTCCAGGGGGTGCCCACTGCTCTCCACTCCACACTGTGAGGGCGGTGGGGCAACAGGCATGGCTGAGAAGTCAGTCCTGAACCAGTGGGTTTTAGGAGGGACGTGGACAGACTGAATTTTATCCAGTTCTAGGTTGGGAACAGAAATGAGTCTGTTACTCATCTTGAAAGCTGCCTGTGTTGCCTCCACCCACTGGCCACAATGACACCACCAAGTATGTCTGACTCCTGCTTTCCATGACAACGCATGCAGAAATGAAGCAGTCTCTGCTTCTCTCCATCGTCAAGTCCCAGCATTTCCTCAAATGTCCCTCAAGCGACAGGGAGGCCAGAGGAGCTCTATCAGCTATTAGAGGCCATGAGCTTCTTCCCCATGAGGTACAGAAGTAGGCAGCCAGTGACCCACAGGGCACCGTAAGGGAATGTCGGCATTAGCTGGCCTCAAGTTCACTGGCTTAGAGAGCAGGGAGCAGACACAATGATGGTGCCAGTCACTAAGCCCAGGGAGCCCAGTCCACATTTGGGTGGTAGTAAAGAGGACTTAGGTGGGCCAGAGTTGGCATTTAAAAAAAGAGGAAATAGAATAGAAAACCCGAAAGTATTTTGCACTTACTATTGTTTTATGAAATGTTTGCTTGAGTAATTTACATATATGCATGTCCTGTGCTATGAAGCAAAAGATGCTTTACAATGTGGGGCTCTAATTAAAAAGCCACATACACACTCTCCTATGTCTATACAGACATATATGGGACACATATAATCCATCAGCCTGTTTCTAAAACAGCCTTTGAACAGCACTTGATAGTTGTAGCGGCCTGGGGAAATCACACTGTTTTACAGATGATGCTACCATTCTGCACACAGAGGCTGACGCCCTGACCCACCACCCCTCAGCCCACTATCACCGGGAGCCATTGTGGGGAAAAGGCACGGCACGTGTGTACTGCCCCCTCTTACACTGGCTTAAGATTTAACCTTAAAGGTAAACGAGGTTGGACTGCCAGTTCTCACTATTACAGAGGGAAGAGGTGCACAAAAAAGGGTAAGAAGAGAAATACACGCTGATATTTGGCCTTTAAACATATTAAAAAATTTAAAAAAGGGATAATTAAACATATCAAAGAGTAAAATGTGATTACCATTACAAAAAAAAAAAAATCAAGACAGAGAGCTGAGTTAATACTGCCTTTCAAATAATGGCGTCCTGGCCACAGTGAGCACAGGAGAGAATCAATGATCCTGAACGTCTACTGCTTTTTTTTCCTCCCTAAGAAAAATGAAAAGGACTTAATGTTGCCCTAGGGGAGGGGAACTACAGGCATGGTTGAGTTCAAAAGGCAACAACTTTTCTGTGCCCACCCTCCCCGCCCTTCTGTTCCCCACCCAGAAAACAGTAATCCATAATAATCCCCACCCAGACACCCACCTGCCAGTACAGAGCCAGGACCAGGACAACAGATCCCCAGGAGGGTAAACAACCCAAGGGCTGTGCTTTTCCCCTCATCTGGTTCACATATTGCTTATACTTGTTTCACCCAGGAGAGAAGCTGCGTCCTTCTTCTTAGTCTCCTTTCTGGCTCTTACCATCTAGGGATCTGATTGAGAAGTCTTAATCCAGAGACTTGTTATTCTAAAGAGTTTCAATTCCAGTAGCTCAGTTATAACCTACATATAACCTATCACCTATAACCTACCTATATATTTGATATGTAGATGACTTTTAAAATAATAATATAATATTTTATTTTTACATCATTTTGTGCCTCATTCCATCTCAGTTGTAATCCCCGTGGGCTTCCCACCACCATATCACCCATGTGCCATCACCATAGTCCAGGGCACTCCCCCACCCCTCCCATTTTTGATCCCATTCCCCACTCCACCCCTGTAAAATGGCTCTGATATATAGTTGTTCATTATTATTAGTATTTTCTTGCCTGGTCCTTTACACTCCTGCTATGAGTGAAACCATCTGGCATTTTTCCTTTTCTTTCTGGCTTATTCACTAAGCATGATCCCTTCCAGCCTATGCTTGTTGCTGCGAAAGGCATGTGCTTATTTTTTTTTGGTTGCTGAGTAATATTCCTTGGTGTATATGTACCACATCTTTTTAATCCAGTCAGTAGATGACTGTTTTACAAAATTGTCTTCCAAACGCGCCTGCCTGAGTAGAAAGTGACTCTGCATGCTTTCAGCACAGGTGCAGGGGAGGAGGCGGAGGGAGGGCAGGCGAGTGTGCCGGGGATTGTGCCAATCAGGAGACAGAAGCAGGCCCAAGACTGAAAGCTAATCCGCCAGCTACGATTTCAGTAAGCGTACCCCCCAATTTTCACTTGGATCATAATCATCAGTGTAGTCATCCCCAGATGAAGTATTTGGCCACAATGATAAAATAAAGAGCACATTTTCAGTGGACACACATTTTTTGCATACTAAACAGAAAGCTTAAACAATGTTATTACCTGGTTTGTTCTTGCTGCAGTGAACTGGGATCAGGTATAAAAAATCTTACTCGAAAGTGCAGAGTACAGGGGGGACCTCCTGCAACAGATGTCAAGAATAAGTTAGATTTTCCTCTTTAAAAAAGTTATTGTACAGGGCCTTCCCTGGTGGCGCAGCAGGTTAAAGCACAGCACTAAGAAGCTAAAGTCACTTCTGCATGAGTTCGATCCCCGCCTGCCCCGGAGGTGACCACATGGCGAGGCAGACCTCTCCTGACCTGCCCGCTGCTCCCCTCAGCAGTGTACTTTGTCGATCTGCCTGTCCTGCTCCCCACTCTGTCTCTGGTGAAGCCTCTCGCCGCCCCTGAGCCCCTGGCCTGTACCCCAGTTCTGTATGTACAAATAAATAAATCTTTAAAAAAAAAAAAAAGTCATTGTACATATAGCAGCTACTCCCCTAAGTGATGGACTTTCAGACCAAAGTCTTTTCCATCATTTAAAGGACAAGTTTCACAAAAGGAGCACATTGTTAAATGATCATTCAGAAACCTCCAAGTGCACAAGAAGTAAACTATCTTTGTCACATCAGCACAGAATGAGCCATTACTCACCTCCTTCCACAGGTTTCACTTAGGGATGTGCTCAGCTAAAGCACTCCATTTCCTGTATTAGGAATTTCTTTAATCCTTGAATCAGCAGATCATATGAAATCCACAAAGACATAATCCCTGGCACCCATTCCAACTGTATACTTTTCAAACGTTTTCAAGCACTTTTTAAGTTAAACCGCACCACAACTGAGCAGGGTGGTTGCCACAGACAGCCCCGTCTACTGATGAACCCCGGGCTCCCAGATGCGGGGACCAGCCTGGGGTCACACCGGTGTTGACAAGACTGAACGGAGGCACCAAGGCCTCTGATTCTGTTCCACCACACTTCAAAATCATTTTAGTACCAAAAAATAGTTTACACTTTGCATTGCAAAGTGAATTTCAAAAGTGACTAATGTATTGACCTACATGACACAATTACACTTAAATATGGCTTTCCACAATGCCACCAAGAGTCGATCGACTTAAAATCAGTTCATTTCTTTGGCCGCCTGAGGTGATCAGATTGTGTTGCCAACATCTCATCCTTTTCTCTAGGTGGATCCACCCCTTTCTAGCACCTGGAAACAGTCGCCGGCTCACCTGTGCTCTGGGCTTTCCTGCCCTCTGAAACTGCACCCACTCCCCTCACTGATCCCCTTCTCTACATCATTTCATCCTGGTCTGCTTGTCCCCTTCTTTGGTGATTTCTGTTTTCTCTGGCTGTGCAGACACAACGGTGTAACTCTGTCAGCACAGCTCTGAAAAGGTGCCGAGTAGCAGAGGGTGACCCTGTAACGCCGGTGGGGGTGCCCTCTCACTGCGTTGGCATGCCCTTGGGCTCCCGCCCCATCTATGACTTGATATGCCCAGGCACACCCCTTATCTTCCCCCCACTCTGGGCACCTAGAGCACCCTTGCATGTGCTCAGTGCCTGGAACTTTCTTTTCTCTTGTCTACAGCACCACCTTTGGCTGGGAGTCCTTGAGGACAGGGTCTAAATCTGATTTGGGCCAGATTCTCTGCCCAGACCTTGACAGAACAGGAGCTCAGACACGCTTATTGAATCAATGAATTGGTGAGGGAGTGAATGACATCACCTCTGTGCGTACCCTCTGAGAACTGAAATGGCGGAGGTGCAGGTATTCACCTGGCTAATGCTCTGTGGCTCGTGTGGATTCTTCCGCATGCGAAGGACAGACTCCAGAGAGAGCAGAACCAAGGTTACCTGTCTCTACCTTTCTCACCTCGATGCAGGAAGAGTGGGGGCATGTGGCAGCATCATGAATATGCAGATCTGTGTGTCAAGACCCACCTGTGTGCACCATTCCCAGGCCATGTCCTGTATAAAGGGCACCACCGGGGTGCAGAGAGGATGTGCCAAGGGCCCTAACTTCAAGCACTTGCATTCTGCAGAGCAGGTAGAGCAACTAACTGTTACATGAAGAACATGTTCTGAGCCAGGGCTCAGGCAGTGATAAATATAAGGGAGTCACAGCTTGTAGTAGGAGAGGGAAAGGGATCTGAGTAGCTTTGGCGATGGCAAGATTGGGGCAGAGGACGATGGGAGAGAACAGCATTCTTCAGCAGAGGGAACAGAGGAGAGAGGACAAAGAGGAGCGCATACAGCACTGGAGGTCAGCCAGACCCATCTGGGGCAGAAGGTGCAAAAAGACAAACAGAGAGCAGTGTCGGAAAACCAGGCTGAGAAAAGAAGCAGACAGAAGGTGGGCAAGGTGTCCGCCTGACCAGGCGCTGGCCTCAGCCCTGGGACGCACTCACGGCTGATGAGCTGTGTTCTCTGTGTGACATTACGAAATACGCCTTCATTTCCGGTGAATGAAGTCGTGCTAGAGAATTCTAGGGGGATGGCTGTCTGTCTCTCTTTTCCACCCTGGCTCTCTCAAGAGGGTAAAGGAAGTTGGTCTCTTTCCACTTCCTTCCCTGCAAGAAGAAAGTGGGTTCCCTGGGCTCTTCGCTGCCTCCTTCCTTCCTTCCCTAGTGCAGCACCTGGAGACTTATCTGGAAGCATCTCTGCTCATTGTGAAGTCAGCTGGGGAAATCTGCTCACCCCTGCCCTGCCTCTGGGGCCACCTGGCGCCCAGGTGCCACATGTCAAGGGCGCAGGGGACAGATGTGGGCTGTGCCACACTCACACTAAGGTGTAACCACACTGAGAAGGCCACACCCACCTTTTAATTGCTTCCGGATGGGTTTGCTGGATTCCAGCCATCTCTGTTGGGTAAGAAAACACAAGATATAACACCAAGCCATGCAGGAGTCCAGCAAATCTTAAAGGGACGTCACTCACGGGAGACTCCATTGTGTCGTCGTCACGCTGCAAGCCGAAATACTCCTTTTCGGTCACGCCCAAGTGGTTATGTGCCATATCCAGAAGAACTTGACCAGTGTCTTGTTTCTGGGGGGTGGGGGAAATGCCAAGACAGCAAAATTTTAAGACACATTAAGAACAATTGGTTAAAATCCTATGGCCATTAAAGGAGTGAGAACATTGAGAGAGTTTGTCCCACAAAAAGATGATTTAATAAATTTCGAGTGAAGAAGCCATATAACACATACAGGAAGCAGAGCTAAGGAAAAGAACAGCACAAATATGATTTAGGATGATAGGAGTTTAATGTTCTAAGACTTCTCCCTTCCCCTTAGCTGAAATTCCCAAGTGGCAAGGTTCGTGTTGAAAATGCGGATATCACAATGACAAGTCTCCGTGACCTACCCACAGATCATCCTCAGCAAAATGCTATTAGTCCCAAGTCGCTTTCTGTTCGTGCCTCAGAAGTCATGCATGTGTACAGGGAACATGCCACGAGCCGTGTGACGGAAGAAGGAAGGCCTGGAACACTCCAGTCCCTTCCAGAGAACCTCAAAGTGGTCTGGCGAGGGCTACCCTGTGGGGTTGTCCAGCTCCTGCTCCCCGTTCCCTAAGTGAGATGCCCCTGGGGATGGTCGCCCACACTTCACCCCAAGGTCAGGGCTGACGGTGGAGGCCCGCGGCTGGACAGGCAGGGAACTGTCTACCCGCAGCCCTCCCAGCAGCAGCCGCGGGCAAGGGGTCAATGCAACTCGGGGGCCAGGGGAAGCGCCCCTGACCTGGCTCAGGAGGATGCAGGGCTAAGAGGCACCTTCCACCAGGTGTGGGAACCAACAAAAGGTGAGCAGAGGGCCAGGCATTAAGAAAGGCGCGGGGGTGGCCAGCAGTGGGGTGCGTTTGGGACACCAGACCTCCTACTTTAACAGGCAGACTTCTCAGGACCCCTTTGGTGAAACCCCATTTAGCTTAAGGACAATAGGAGTCAGAAATAGACTGTATAGAATAAGCACAGGTAGCTTTTTTTTTTTGAGTGCCTGCAAGCAAAAATACACCTTAAAATAGGTCACCGTGACAAGGACGAGGCGAGCTGAATAGCGGTCAGCCCCTGCGGCGGCCACTCTGGCAGGGCCTCTCAGTGCTTGGTCTGAAGTGTGGCAGCACGAGACACGCCCAGCTCAGGCGCTCATCCCCTGTCCTGCCAGGGGCCACCCTGCTGCTCCCTCCTGCTTCCCGGGTCTCCACCTTCCATCACAGGAATCAAGACAGAAAGCGCGGCCGGTCCATGCATTCTCAACAATGACACACACCGCCCACCTTGATGTGTGAAAGAGTTGTTTGCTCCTCTTGCTGACATTATTTTTCTATGTGATGATACGTTAGGTTTAATATAGATTAACTACTGCAGTGTGCAAGGAGCCAGACACGATATCCTCTGAGCTTTTCATAGGGGATCTCTAATCTCTGCACCAGTGTGGCCGAGCTGCCATGGCCGGCCCGCGGCTGAGCCAGGGGCGGCTCTGCGGCTGGAACCGTCAGCCAGGGATGGTCTGACAGCCTGACTCAGGTGGGTCGGCTGCCAACGCCTGCCCTACTACACTGCCTCTCTCCGCAGTGCGCGACCTATCCGCTCCTGTGTCTGCTCCGCACGACTCTCTGGGTTCTCCAAAGGAGCTGAAATCCAAAGTAGTGGGGACTCTAAGGGGCCCACTTCAAGTGAGTCACCCCTCTGGGAGCCTCTGTAGGACCCGCGGCTCTGTCCCGAGGCTTTATGTGGGCCTGCCCTTGCAAAATGCGTTCCTTCTCCCAATTCACGGGGCTCGTGGCTCCTTGAAATATGCTCTACTTCCGTATCTCCCCGGGCAGTTGTTTCTGTCACTGCCCATTCCTCTTCTCTCCAACCTGTACACCGAGTCTCCTCTCTTCTCACTGCTCACAGCTGGAAATCCTAGCCTTACTCTGGCCATACCCACTTGGGCCAGACCCTTCCTGAATTCCTAACTCCACTCCGAAACCAAACTCCATCTCTACACTGATGAGTTTCACGGGCAACTCGAACTCAAGGTGCCGGACCTCTGGCTCTCTCCACCTTCTTGTGTCCTTTGCCCTCTCTGTAAACGGCAAACTCCATCTTGCCAGTGGCTCAGGCCAAATCCCTGGCGTCGCCTTTGGGACACTTCACAGCACAGGCCCCACCAGTCAGCAAGTCTCCTAGACCCCATTTTCAAAATTTCCAGACTTGGTTTCCTCCCTTCCGGCCCCACAGCCACCCAGGCAATGATCATCCTCTCCTGCCCCTTAGCTGTGCCTCTCCCCTACCCTGTGCAAAATAAACGGGGGGTACTGAGTGATACTGCACCCTGACTATGTCAGATCTTGCCCTAATCTATTGTTTCCTTCCTCACTCAAAATTAAAGTGCATGCCCCCCAGTTGACTCACAAGGTTTTCCACAGTCTGCTCTCCCACAACACCTTGCTCACTCCACTCCAGACACAGCACCCATTTGTTTATGGTCTGTTTACTCCCCCTGGGGTGTCAGCTTTGAGAGCACATGGATTTTGCTGTTTTGTTAACCAGTGTTTTTTTTTTTTTTTTTAGATTTTATTTATGCATCCAAGAACTGGGGTGTAGACCAGAAGTGCAGGGGATGAGAGGATTCACCAGACAGTGGAGAGCAGAACAGGCAGATCCAGTGAAATACACTGCTGAGGGGAGCATTGAATGGGACAGGAGAGGTCTGCTGCACAGTTTGAGACAGCTCCTGGCTGGGGATGGAACTTGTCCTGCAGGGGCTACATCCAGATAGTTTCACTGTGCTGAGACTTAACCCCTTAAGCCACTAGGGAGAACCTAACCACTGTAGTTTTTGTACCCTAGTCAAACCTGCCACATAGGTATTGCCAAGCCCTGCTGGCAGTAGGTGCTCAGTGAGTCAGGTTTTTAAATTAAATATTCATGTTCTCCCTAGGATGGATTCTTGGAGGTGAAGACTAGCTCCAAGATGGAAAACAAACATTTTAACTAACACAAGAGCCAGACATACACTAAGCTGTTAGTTTACAGCATCTGGAAGAGACATTTGTGATGTTTGCAGCTTTTGTTTAAACATAAAATTCTATGGAAGCTCACTTCAAAAGGAGGTAAGACACAAAATTTGTTAGAACCAAAGCTCCTGATTTTCGAAGGAAATATGCACGACTTCACCAAAGACCCTAACATCAGTGGTTCTTCAAACTGTAACGCTACATCAAGACTGCATGTCTAATGCATATTCTCAGGTCCCACCACTAGAGAACATGCTTCAAACACCCAGAAAGCACAGTAAGTCTATCCCAACAGGCCTCTTAGATGATGTCAAGTTACTCAATGAAATATTCGCTAGGGCCATACTATGCAAAAAGAAGCCATGTGCTCCAAGACTATTTGAAGTTTAATTAAAGTTTTAAAAAACCCAGTCACATTTCAAGTGTTCAAGGAGCCAGTGGCTGCTGTACTAAGTGTGAATAGAGAACATTTCTGGCATTGCAGAAAGTACTTTTTGATAGTGCATTCCCAGCATATGCTTCTCATCCAAGTGACTGAAGGAATGGGTTCTATGTCCCCAATTAGATTTTGGAGAAATAACTAGACAATTGCATTCCCTAGTTGGGGTTTCTCCTGCTTATTAGAGTAAGTTTCCCACCTGCAAAAAAAAAAAAGCAAAAACAAAAAAACATGGCCCCTGTCCTGTCCTTAGGAACAGACCTGGGCTGGTATGGAAATAGGTGGGGAGTGGGGTAGAAATTTGAGGAAGCACCCTCTCCACTGTCCCCTTCCACTCTGTGCCAGGCAAGGACCCCACAGACCCACATCCTTAGTAACTTTTCCAGTCTAAGTCTTGCTCACTAATGGGGAGGTGGGGGGGGGGGTGCCACCCCCTGGGCAGCTGTCCTGTCCCTGGGCCAGGACAGAGAAAACAGCATCCACTGTGAGTGACTTCACACTGCCCTCCCCCCTTATCTGCCAACCATCAAGGTCCAGAGTGACCTGGTGAGCAGGAGGCAAGCAGAAGAACAAAGGACCACCTTGGGTTAGCCTTTAAATTATGGATTTCATTACCCCCAGCTTTCTCACACCCCATCTCCTTGTACACTGAACGTTCCAGAAGGGAGCAGATGCTCGCAGCCAGTCCAGGGTTTAGGACTGGCCAGAGAATGGGAGAGGCAGGCAAAGGTTACGGGCTTTTGCCCAGGGATGCCGACTGGGATGGGTAGGGCCGTGGGGAGGGGTTGTTCAAACAAGGTACGCCTGGCCTGAGACTGAGATGAGCCCTCATTTCCAGGCCTGCTCTGCCATGGTCGTGAAGGGTGAGAAGCCAGTTGTGAGGCTAATACTGTCCCCCACCACCTGCACTCTTCACTAGCATCTGCCGTGCGCCAGCCACATGTCAGGTAGGCGCAGACCCTCACTCCCGCCCTACAGGAGCCCAGTTGGAAAAGTGGCACAGAACCTACTGTGAGGGCCGTCATGACAGCGAGGACGCCACTAGCCCAGGAAGTGGATGCTGTCACAGACATAGTAACACCTCAGTCATTCAGTTCCCCGCCCGGGAAAGGGCAGGTCCACTCCAGGCCAGGCAAGGAGGAGAGCAAAGTACTCGAGGTCATTGCCAATCCAAGCTCAACATACAAGGTTGCATACCTCAAGCTTTTATTGTAGCATAATTTTTTCCTTCATTTTAATTAGCCAAGAGATGAAAACGCTTCCTTAGGGTCATCAATTCAGAAAAAAAATTCAAGTCAGAGAACTTACATTAACTTTAAAGGTCTGTACCAAGCCATCTAAAAAGCGGATGCTGCAGACGACTTCGGATCGAGTTTTTTCTTTGGGTAATTCTGAGGTTCGTATGTTGTTAATTCTTCCACCCAACGCACGTAACCGGGAGGTCATAACGATCGCTGAATGACCTGTAAGGAAGACAGAGCTGTCAGCGCTGCCAAGCAGATCAGCAGCTACAGGTGAACGGACCTCAGTCCACGCAGCCTTCTGTCCCGTGGCTCTGATCTTCACAGGAACCCAGATCATGAGACCCGATAAAGTCCATGTTTCCATTTGAGTTTTTACTTCTACGCAGAATTTATTGCTCAATTATCACATGATAAATTATCACACGATAAATTATCACACGATTAAAGAATCATATCATTTATTTGTGTGTTTTCTATCTCCTTGGTCCAGTTCTAATTTCCTAGGTTTTCCATTTTTATTTGTACCTTAGATATTTTTGTATTCTACCCTAAGACACACTACAAACTACATTTGATAATAATCAAAATGCATAGCAGGGCATCCCTGGTGGCCTAGGGGGTAAGTCTCAGCACTACTCATCACTGTGGCCTGAGCTCGATCCCTGGCCAGGGAGGGGACCCACATGGCACAGCAGACCTCTCCTGCCCTGCCCGCTGCTCCCCTCAGCAGTGTGCCTCAGTAGATCCACCTGTGGTGCTCCCCACTTTGTATCTGTCTCACAACTCTCCCCCTGCACCTGTGACCTACACCCCAGTTTATGCATAAATAAATAAATCTTAAAAAAAAAATACCACCATATTTAAAAGAATAAAAAAGAACCTCACAGAGATATTGTAACATAGATTAATGAAGACTGTATCTTTATATAATCTTACAAATAGCTAAGAGACAAACCACCAGCTAAAAATGGGAACCACATTAGTGGTCGAGGAGAAACAAAGCCCTACATGCCCACTGGAAGGGCTGCAATGAAATCTGGCAAAACCAAGAGCTGACCAGGGTGTGGGGCAGCCTGCACCCCAGCCCCGCCAGAGAGAAGGCATCAGCGCAACTGCTTGGGGTAATCTACTGGCAGTAACCACTAACGTCGATCTGTGCGTATGCAGTGACATCATTTCTCTGAGAGAAAACATCCCTTCACTAAAAGACAAGCACCGGAATCTCCTAACAGCCCAGACTGGAAAGGCTGAACCGGTACAGGCCTCCCGGCACAACCTCTCGGTGAAGGAAACTGCCACTGCTGTTAGATGCAACGTGAATTCCTCCAACACGCTGAGGAAAGCAGCCAGACGCAATAAGTGACCGACTGCCCAACGCCATTTACATAAGTTCAGAAACAGGCAAAACAAATCATTGCTAACAGAGGACAGGCTAGTGGCCACCTCCAGGAGGAGGGAGGAAGAGCCCCTGGGGGCCGACAATTTGGAAATTCATCAGGCTCCACCTCATGACTTACACACATATTTCAACATTTTCCTTAAAAATAGACCTATGAAGAGGGAAGTAGAGGGAAGTTTAAAATCTGACCAAGGTCTATTCAGGGAAAGGGGAGTGATTGTATCGCTGAACGCAGCTGTGGAATGGCAGATGAAATTTGAAAGGGGTGCAGACAAGCAGGTGGGGGGCCGAGAGGAGCAAATCTGATGAGCTGGTGGACGAGCAGATAAAGATGAAGGGCTTCAGAGAAGTTTAATGTTCTTTATTCATTTGCTGCACTGTCTGATGAGCTGGGTCTTTGCGCCAGCATTCTGTATGGAAAACCCTTATTGCTCCTCTTCAACCTGACTCCTACTCAGGTCTCAATGCTCAGTGCAAGCTTTACTTCCTGAGAGAAGCCCTCTCTGGTGTCCCCAACCACTCACTTGTGTCAAAGGTGCTGCTCTATAGTGTTCGCTGCAATTTCCCCTTTATAGCTGGTGATGTAGTTATTTGATATCTGCTTCTCCCACTGGATACTGAGCTTCACCAGGATACAAAACTGGTCTGCTGAGCAAGCCTCAGCAGCGCCTGGAGGCACAACTTGGCCGCAGGGAGTGAATCACCAAGGAGATAAGTCCTCTAGAAGGTCCAGCCAGGGAAGGGGGTACCTGGGCCCTTACTGAGTTAAAGTGCTCCAGGCAGCAGGCTGGTTTTGCAGATAGGGAATCTCAAATCATTTAAAAAGTTCCTGGGGCTGACAGTAGAAATTTATTCAGCCTCTTGTAAAATTCCACCCACCCCACCACCTCCACCTTGCCCTTTCCAATAAAAATGTCATCAGAAGCAGAGATGCATTTCTGAGTAATGCCAAAAGTTATCAAAAAACAACAAATGTGTTCCATAATGCTTTAGTGCTATTAATTTGGAAATGTCAAATTTATCTGCAAGTCCTCGTCTAAGAATTTCAGGTGAGTTCACTTTCTTTATCCAGTAGAACTTCAGCCAGCATGGATCTTCAGAAGTGGCAGAGTCGCTGCCCTGTCCCATCTGCAGACAGTGATGCAGCGCTGAGGGGTGGCACAGATGCCTTTTACTCCAGGCAGCCAGCAAGTAGGGGTTGGGTTTTCAGGGACCCTCAGGTCAGATCTGGCAAATGAACTGAGTAATCTGAGCAACTGTCCACAGGTACAAGCACAAGGATGGGCTAGTTCCAGATGAGACACTCAGACAGGAGCCGCAAAGGGAAGTCACTTGCGGCTGCATCAACCTTGGGTGCTGGTTTTCTTCACCTGTGTGGCTCAGTCTGGCAGCACTGGCGTGGGTACCAGTGGCAAGTATGCAGTTAGCCTGATTAAGTAGCAGAATCCCATATCCAGCTGACAAAGGATACCCGCAACACGGAAGGGGTATGATTTCTCTTCTTCCGATCGATATGTTACATAAGGCTTGCTTGACACCTGAGGACCATGTCGTAAATACATACTCATAAAAGCTGCAGGCCTGGCCTTCCCATGACTGTTCCCAAGCTGACTTTGACACAAGCCCACCTGGTACTGAGCAACCACATAACTGAGCCTCATAACTGAGCCACGTGGGGTTTTCAGATTGTCTTGCAGTGATCGCTACAACAGTCTGGTCAGGACTATGCATGCTGAGTGAGAAACTGCCCTGTTTCCTGGGCCAGAGCCACTGGGGACTCGGGCTTGCCATGGCTTCCTTTATGGACCTCTTAATTCTAAAGCCACAACCCACCCAGGCACACTCGGGGTGCTCCAACCACATGTGACCACAGCTGTAGCTGATGCACTTTACAGCCCAGGAGCCAGGCTTGTCCATGTGTGTTTTTTAAAATCAAACAGCGCAGCCTTAGAATCTGTTTTGCATAGCAACATTAGAGGTTTGACTTTGATACAGTCGCTATCAAAGATTTTACTCGTAAGGCACATGACACAAAGAGAAAACACCTCACTTTACACACAGAAGGGAACCAATACACGCTGCAGACACTGGTGTACACACACTAGGTACTCAGTGAAAGGCATGTTAGTCACAATGAGAAGCTTCCGATACCACCAGGTGCTGATTGTGGACTCTGGATTTTGCAGGCAATCCTGATTTCAAATACCAGACAGACAGAAATGTCCCATCTCTTAACATTTTTCTTACAGTTTTAAAAATTTTAGTAAAATAAAAATTAATATATTTTTATAATTTATTACCTTGCTAAAGGTAAAGAGTGCTCGTTATGGGTACCGGCTGCTCTCCAACCTCAGAGAGCCAGAAGCAGGAGCACCGGGCCACACGCGCCATGGCCCGACACGGGACACCAGAGCTCCCGTCTGCCCTGGGCTCCTTGTACATGTCGACCTGGCCAGTGAACCACAGACAGGAGAAGAGGACCACTGTTGTGCAACCACCCCAGGCCAGGTAGGTTCATGGTTGCTCCTTGCAGACAAAAAGATGCTTTTGGAGCCTTTGGTAGATCGGCACAGGCCTTTAGTGTAGAATCAGGGGACAGACATCTTTCTCCTCAGCACTCTTCTGGCTGTCTCCTTCCCGGATCTGAGCGACGCTGCCCTTACAGCCTCTCACCACAGGTGTGCACACTCATCCACGCACACCTACATGTGTGCACAGCGCGCTCTCCGGGCCCAGGTGTCCATTACACCGTGGGTGCTAGCCATAGTGGTGAAAGGTGGGAGGGAGGGGAAAAGCCTGGTAACTTCATTTACCCAGCAACCACACTCCTCCATTAGAGAAAGCTAAAAAGCAACACTTTAAAAGTATTAAGGCTATTTCATATCTATTTTAAAAATAAGCACCATAGGCCTCTAACTCTGGAATATGAAGTTTCAGTTTTAAAAAAGCTGTCCTGACAAGTGAAACAATTTGTGGGCAAATTTTGGGCATACAATGCACCAGGGTGGCTTAGGATGCTAGAATCCCGCGGACCTAGGCCAATGCTACCACCTAGTGGCTGCCAGAGGAAGAGCGACACTTTGCCAACCCCCTCTGCCTTTCTGCCTTCTTGCTCTGGGGAAACATGGCTATGCTCCCTCCTCATACTTCATTCACTTCAGCTAATTTTCAAAAAGTGCCACGACATAAAAGGGTTTTCCCGTAGCTCAATTCCTTCCCTTTCTCTAGATTTGCTAATGAACTCAGGAAAGTTCTCTTCCTTTCCCTCCCCTCCTTCCATTTGTAAACCCCAACAGATAGCTTTTGAGCGGAAGGGAATCTACCACAGAAAAGTAATGAACATTCATGTGCTGTGAGCCATACTAAGCAGATGATACATCACTGAAGTGTGCATCTCAATACCAGTACTTGAGGTATTTAAGAGAAATGTTTTCTCTTTTGCTGCTTATAGCTCTTTTGCATCATGAACACATACATGCTGGGTGTGAAATGGGTTAAGTTTTGGGTGAGGGGGCTAACAGGGCCCTAATAATCTCTACTAATCAGCACTCACAGCTTCAGCATGTACTGATGAGAAAGTATAAGCCACAGTTTCTGAATGGTGCCTGCACCTTACAGGACCATTTTGAATAGTCTGTTCTAAATTCAGGTCTAAGTGTTCTTTAAATGCCTCTGAGGTAAAGGGGGATACTTTACCCTAAAGGGTAAAATTTACCCTAAAGGGAAAATTTACAAAGGTCTGGATGAGGATTTATTAAGCACTAGGTGCTGGTTATATTAAACTGTAAGAATGTTTTGTAAGATACCCCAAAAAAGTAATTGAGATGAGGTTTTTAAGCTTAGATCAAACATTCATCTGGGAAGTTTATTAAAATCAAGATTTGGGGGCACCAACAGAGATGCTGGCTAAGTAAGATCCCAGACAACAGCATTTTAAAACTTCTTCCAAATTTACAGAAAAGCTGCAAAACTAGAAATCTACAAACCCCAGTTGGCCTGAATTCAACTGTTAAGATTTTGCTGCATATGTTCTCTGCACCCCCGCCCCCAATCCGGGCTTTCTTTCTGAAAATAAGCTATCGTGCTCCTTTACCGCTAAACAGTTTGGCATGCATCCCCCCAAACAAGGACATTTCAGAACCACAGAGTAATTACCGCATTGAGGAAATTCAGCAGGACAAAGCGCTTATCTAATAGGTGGTGCGTATTTCTATCCTCTTGATCCAGAATCCAAGCCAGGGCCCAGCCTTGCTTTGTCACGGAGAGGCTGCATTTTTAATGAGAACCCCAGAGGGCTGTAACCCAGGCCTTCTGAGCCCACACAGTGGAAAACACTCAAATAGAAAGTCTCTAGGGTTTCTTTCAGTTTTGATTCTCATGTCTACAGGGTTGGGTTAAGCTACACCCTATGTCAGTTTTCCTGTCAGTATTACAAGCTTCCCAGGGCTAGAGTTTCTCCTGCCAGCAGCTGTCCCATCACTCAGCCTATGCTGCAGCAACAGGCTCTGTCTTTATGTCCTGCCTGGATTACACTGCTGTCATGGCCCAGAGGACCCAACAAGAAAACAACAGTTTCAAAGGAGTCTATCCATTGATATGATGTAGCCAGACCTGGCTTAGCTCCAGAGCAGTCCGATTAGCTCACTCTTTCACTGAGAACAATCCTAAACAATTCATAGTCTCCACTTTGGAGAGCAGAAGCAGGGCCTGGTGTGCACCTTCCACAGAAGGTGGAAGGGAGAGTCAGAAGGAAAGGAAGAGGCATGGGGCACTTTGGGTGACCGGGCTTTGCAAATGCTTTCAGTGAAACTCAGCCTGGCTGCTGAAAAATTGATGACTTGAACTCTCACTTGTGAATCACCCATATATCTTAGAAAACACTTCTGTGTGTTATTTCACTTATTAACTTCAAATTAACTGTAACTGAAAGCAAAATTACCATCCAACTGATATATGGCATTTAATGTTTCCCTTAAGATGACAACTCCCTCAAGTTTATTAACACTACCTACTGTCATGTCCCCTCCCCTCCTTACTTGTCATTTTCAGTTTCCAAAGTACAACAGTGCATAGTACAAAGACATAGGCCCTAACTTGCTTTAACAGTTAGCTTCTAATGTGGGCATAACCGCTACTACTTACTAAATTAGAAAAAGATAAAAACATCTAATTCATGAAGGGGGAGCTTCGGCTAGTGAATACAATAACCACAGCTGAACACGGAGGTGTAATTTTTGACTTGCGTATGCATATATAAAAGTATTTAATACCATTATTGAAAAGTGTTTCTATTTTGTCATTTATGAAAGTTTTAAACTCTCAGAGGTCACATTATTCTCTACAACAGGAGAAAATAGCTCATACAAATCACCTTCACAAAAGTTTGATATTCAAATTAGCTTGCAATTATTAACACTACTACTCCAGAAGCACAATCTGAGTGCAATCATAAATTCCATAGAACTTGTAAGGAGCAGCTCTCCAACTGGTGCTGGCGCCCCTGGGAAGTAGGTGGGGGGGGGGGGGGGGGATAATTTGTAGGATTAGTTGTATTCAAACAGAGACCTGTAATTAGTGTCCTTGTTCTCATACAACTTCAAAATGTCAAATAGTTTTCTTATTATGGAGTCGGGGTTTATTTATAGGTTCGACACCATGACACTCGCAAAACTAACAAAATAAAAAGTTATACTTGATACTGGGAGTGTAACAAGAAGTAGTTTTAAGCTCCCTGAAGGGCAAGAAAAAGAATGCTGTGGGAGTTGCAGGCAGTTTCAGGAAAGAGGTAATGTGACTATAAAGAGCAACCAATCTCCATGTTCCAGGAGCTGAATTTTCAAGGTAGGGATGAGGAGCTAGCAAACTGCAATACAGATTTTGTTCCTTACAAAGTGAACATCCCTGTTAAACTTGAGGGTCTATCAAATGGAATCCCCCTATTTTTCTTTTAGTATCACAAGCTCCCAAGAAACCCAGCAGAAGCCCCCCCCCACCCCACAACACCCTCCCTGCGGAGGTGACCACACTTGTGATTTAGCACTGCTTTCATGAGATTTTTAGAAGTTACTTTTTTATAGGACTCACCCCCAGGGCTGTTTCTCAGTCTGCATGGGCACAAAGAAGAGCTTGTCTTTGAAAGGGAGACTGGTACACTTTCCCCATTACAGGCGACCTTGGTGAACCCAGAAACTTTAGAGGCCAGCTAGCTGTCTCCTGGGAGGAACAGGAACCTGCCCCAGCCCTGCAGGGGTGGAACAAGGAGGAAAATGACTTCTAGGACCCGACAAGCCATCTCCACAGCCTCCCAGCCGGCAGCCAAATCACCGCATCGGACCCGGGCTGGAGTTTCAGGGCCCACAGATCTTGAGTGTAATTACATTTTACCCATTACTACTACTTTGGCAGAGGAAAAAGTAGCATAAAAAGTATAAAAGTACACCATTTATTCACTCAGTATTTTTCAGGAGCTGTTCTGCACCACATCAGGGGTGGGGAAGGCAGCGGTGCTGGGGTCCAATTCTAAGGAGATGAAAACCCAGGGAGCCCCAGTAACCGGAGGAAGGTGCAGCAATGATGGGTGGGCTGAGCGGCAGGCCAGTTTATGAAGGCTTTGGGAACCTTGCTGGATACAGAGAACTCCTCCAGGCAGAGAAGCGTCCCTGCAGAAAGTAAGCACCACGCGCACAGACTGGGCAGAAACACAGACACACTCCAAACCAGACGCGGCTGAGGAACAACTGAGTCCCTGTAGGTCCCCAGACCCACAGACGAGGCTCCAGGAAACCCAAGGGATATGGTTTGAGGCTGTGGGAAGGTCGGTGTGATGGGGTCAAGAGAAATGGGTTGGAATCCAGCTTAACCATGTATTTGCTGTGTGTACTTAGGTCATTCAGCCCAAGACAGTTTCTTCTGTCTTTAAAAGGGGGAGGCACTTTCTCTGCTTCCCAAAGTTGTCTCAAGCACTTGAGATATGTGTATTCAAATGAGGTGACCCCGCCCCAGCAGGGCCCCATCAACTGCACTTATTACCACTATCAGAATGACTTTTCAGGCCCCAAGCTTCAATGAGACAGGTGGCCCTCCGTTGGCAGAAACGGCTTTAGAATGGTTGAGGCGGCCCACGTCCCCGGGAGGGGCTGCCTCAGGTGAGAGGTCATCCAGCAGGGAAGCTGCTTGGACCCTTGGTGAGAAGGCTGTAGAGGGCGATTTGGCTCTAGCAACTGTGCTTCCAGGACCGAGACTGTATTATGAGTTCTGTTTCAACACAGTGTTGGCCAAGCAAGGTTAGGTTTCTGTACATGTGAGTTCTACTCAAAGCAGCTTTGTTTACCACGGGTAGCTTTGTAGAGTTCTCTCATGGGAAATAGTTCTAAATGGATAACTCATTCTTGGACAACAAGTAAAATGCCCCACACCATGAAAGAGGCATAAAGAATAAAAGCAGACAAAAAGCAGTATGTAATGCTCAACATGGACTCGGATGATGGGATGTGTTTTCTATGGAGTGGTTTCTACCTAAAACCAAGGTAGCCATCTCTCTTCATTCTGCCTCCGATTAGTTCCACTAGACACCAAACAGACTAGAATGCAGGACAGAATAAATTTACTCTACAGGGACATGAATCAAGTTGCATAAACTTGACAAAAATACTGTGCTAATATTTGCCCTCAGAGCACAGACACGCCCAGTTGGGTGTTAGTGGATGATATTTCTATCTTAGGTTCTAGCCCCCACCCCTTTACAGCCAAAAGCAGCAAAAGTCTTCAGAAAAGAAAACAGCTAAAGTCACTTTGAAAGGTTTGAGATGTGCTAATCACAGCGCATCCCTGCCAAGAAGCTGGAATGTCACAACCGGATCAGTCGGCCAGCTCTGGTCCTGGCCAAGAGTGTGTGGCCAGCAGCAGCCTGGCCAAAGAAACTCAATCCTCATCACCAGCAGCGCTCGCCATAATTTTATCTCAAGGAAACACAGAAAAATACCCACACCCTTTCCTCCCAAAGCATCACCCTATTTGTCACTGATCAGTCAGGCGACCCAGGAACTCACTCGTCCATTTTTCTCAGCTCGGTTTCCCAGCTTAGGGCCCTCTGTCTCCTTCCAGCTCTACAATCCTCCACCTGCAAGGTTTTAATCCGAGCAGCCATCTCAGGTTATGTTAGGTACAGTAACCCTGCTGGCTGCCAGTGCCTTGAGAAACCAAGATAAAAAGTATTTTTATGCAACCTTGTCAGATTTCCAGGGCTTTGAGACTTGGTTAAGATGGGGTGGGAATGAAAGAAAACTATTACCTCTAAAAAAAGACTCCAAGTCTCACCACATCATTGACTAGAACAATACTGAGGAACTGGACGGAAAGAATCTATCTTGTTGCTGCGCTTACTTATTGGTACTGCAGCCCCACAGCCGGGGAGCTGGGGTGCAGGCACAAACACAAACCATCGGTGACGTGGACCTGAGGGCTCTGGGGAGCCTGGGGTGCCGGCAGGCCAGGGCCAACTGGAAGTCTAAAGGAATAAGTGAGGCCAGTTCCAGTCTTTGCTGGGCTACTTGCAAGTAGATACGAAAGTGGAAAGTGAAACTTCCTAAGCTGTTTGTTCACTGTAAATTCTGAGCAGCAGGGATCTTGTGTCCGGCCCCCAGATGCTTGCTCAACACTGGCTTCTATGAGCACTGCCTCTGTCACTGCCCTTCCCACCCACCTCGTTCCTAGGGCTGCTTTCCCAGGCTCCCTGTCGTGGGGTGCAACCCAGGGTCCCACAGGGCTTCGGCGTCTTCCAGATTCGTTCACATCCCTCCCTCCCAACTCCATTCATTCCGAGCGGGCCTGTTGGGCGGTGCCACGGTTCCTTCGTACAGATGGTGCCATGGGGCTCAGAGGTGTGCACGGTGGTCAGTCTCCAAACAGGACCCAACACAGCGTCCGGGCACTCTCGCCTCCCTGCTGAGCCCAGCGCCCATGTCACTAGGTGGAAGGTGAGTTTGGAGTGATTCACAGAGGGGCAAAAGGCCCCGCTTAATCACTGTTGTGATTTAGCAACTGAAGGGATTTTCCTTACACTTTGAGCTAATCTTCACACACACTCCCCACAGCTCACATGTTGGTAAACTTCCTCTTAGGAAGAAAATGGTCCAGAAAACCTTTTTTCCCTTGATCATTCTGCACCACCAGAAACCTGAGTAACAACAAAACATGGGGATTTGTTACCATAGTCCCTCTGTTCTAAGATGACAACTGCTTCAGCAGGTGTTTCAGAAAAAAATTAAAGAAACAGACCATCCACAGTACAATTTGTTTACAAAGACCATGCTGGTTTCGGAAAAATTAAAATGTGGGACAGTCTCTTCAGGATGGAGGGAACGAAGTCAAAGACTTCCTCTTGCTTTTGCAAAAGGCGTGGGCTGGAATGCACATGACGTCTAAAGGCCCTTCCAGCTCCACAGCAGTCACCCCGGGTTAATTATTAGCAGCAGGAGAGCAGGAGTTGGCCACCTCACTTCCTGAGGCGAGGCCCTGGGGTGGGCTGGGCCCTTGTCCTGCCCTGTGACCAACAGCACTCCTGCCAGGATGCTTGGAGGGGGCCAGGCAGCCCCCCTCCACTGCACTTGCCTTAGGCACCCCAGGACTTTGAGACTGACTCCTGATGGTGGCCGGGTTCCCCACAATTCCCTGGAGGCGAGGCTTCTCAGTGAGGTTGAGTTCTACCAGGTCCTTGCCAGAGAAAGCCAAGGATCTCATGAAGACAGTCTGGGTGTGTGGGTAACTGGTAAACTCAGGGGGCTCTTGAGGTGAGTGGGGGCTGTCCGAGCCTTCGGGAGGATGCAGGACAGCCTCACAGCACAGCAAATACACCTTCGGGCTCTTCCAGATGGCTGTGGCAGGGGCTTGGGAGGCACAGAACCTACCTCCCATGAAAGACCAGAAGCTCTGCCCTGGAGGGTTGCGAGAACCGCTGGGGAGACTAGCTGCTTAGAAGGGTGAACGCGGATGTGCTCGTGTCCAGTATTGTTCTGTGAAGCAAGCCTACAGACAGCGTTTCTCATTTGGGGTATATTTTAAAGTGGTTCTCATGTCAATGTCCACATAATCCACGTTTTCCTACTGGCCCACTATTAAACACGCCACTATGCCATGGACACTTTGCTCTGGTGGATGCATAACTGTAGCTGTGTGTTCAGATGAAGGCTCGAGCATCCAAAAGAACCCAAAGAGGGAGCATGTACTGGCACCAACATGTGTGAAGGGGGCCCAGGTGGGCCCAGCAACCACCCAACAGTGACCAGAGGGGCCAGACTGCCATGTGGAGGAAAGAGACAAAACAGGTGTAGGGTAAGTGACTTAGCCAGGTGTCTACACCACTGGCCTCTGGCTATCCCTTGTGGCCTTGATCATGTTAATGCAGAAGGCGCTTGGGAGCACGGACACAGGGCACGTGTGTCTGTGGACACCTGAGTCTGAGTGTGTGTGCTTGTGCAAGTGTGCACACCTGAGCCTGGAGGCCAGGGTATAAGGGCCGCGTCGTTCAGAGACAGAGGATGGCTACAGGAGACAAGCGATGTAATTACAGGAGAGGCGAGACCATGAGCGAAAGCCAGAGAGCCCAGAGAGAGAAAGATTTGGGTGGGAGCTGGGAGGCTCAGCTGCCTGCCCGCCTCCCAGCCCCTGCCTGACCCAGGCCTGCCTCCCTGCATGCCAGCCGCCCCACCTGGGGGGCAGTGTACCTGGTTCCCTGAGAGAGCTTGAAAGCCTACAAAATCTACCAAGGGCTCTCGGACTCTCCTTTATCCAACTACCTGAATCCATGGTGAACCTGCCCTGTGCCAGCTGGCAAAATGCATGTCGTGGGTGACTTGGCAAAGCCACTGGTATAACTGTATTCTGTCTTTTCCAGCAGGAAGACCAATCCTTTCCCTGGGGGAAGGACGAAGTTGAAGGCGCTGGGAAGGCATCTCTACGTCCTTCCATGAGATTCTCTAGACC